TGTGGTTGAATTTTTAGGAGATGGATGAGTGGATTTCTTGCTTCTAAATCCCAGTTTCTCAGCTTTTAGGCCATTTCACTACATTATATTTGCACTGATCACTTGTTATTTAGATTGTAGCCTTCATGTCCTACTTGCCTTTCTCCCTACCTGTTTTCTCAGTAAGAGAGACTCATTTATATTAGGTTTATGCAAAAGTAATTGCGATTAATGGTAAAAACTGCAATTACTTTTGTACCAACCTAATGAATGAACTTCCTGTGGCTTCATTCCAACTCTCCTGACCCTGTTGTCTTTTGTGATAATTGACTTCCTAAAACAAAGAAGCAGAAGCTTCGGGACAGTTAAGGACTATGCTTAAAAATGGCTCAAGGGTAACTTCTACTGCATCTTTTTTTTTTCGTCAAAGCTCTCACAGGTCCTTCTAGATTTAAGAGATTGTGGAAATAAACCCCATGTGTTGATGAAGGAGTGTCAAGATCACACTGGAGAAGAGCATGTAGGATAAGGGGTATCAACGTGACCATCTTTGAAAAATACAATTTGCCACATTCGTCAAGGCAAAATTAATTTCTTTCATGTGTGTTGTCTAGGACTTCATTTCTTCTTTTTGTTTTTTACATTAATTTTCACCTGTGATCCCAGGGCTATTTTGCAAGGGGTCTGTGAAATAACATGCATACAAAACTTTGAGTAAATAGGGTAAAATTATATTACTTAAACACATAATTATTTTTAAAGTATATGTAGATGATTTGTGATTAAATTTATTATATATTTTTAAACAATCCATGTTAGAAATTCAAAGAATATAAAAGAATCTGCAAATTTTTGTCTCTTTTTACTAAATAGGGTGTTTATTGGGCACAAGGACTTATCTTGGTAATCTTTGAGTCCCTAAAATTTAGCAGATTAAGTTATATTTAGTAGGCACCCAATAAATTTTGGCTTTGCTCGGTTACAAACTTTACTTAAAAATTTAATCTCTACTATTATTTATACACTCAACAAATATATATGAAGCACTTACTATGTTACAAAAGCAATGGTAGATGCTAGGAATAAAATAGTGAGCAAAACCTGTTGACAGCTTAGAAGGATAGACAGATATTGATTCCTGAATCACTCTAAAGATGTAAACTTTCCACTGTTGTAAGCTCTTTGTATTAGTTCGCTAGGCTTGCCAAAATACATGACCACAAACTGGGTAGCTCAAGAAACAGAAATGTATTGTCTCACAGTTCTGGTGCTAAATGTCCAAAATCAAGGTGTCGGCAGAGTTGGTTCCTTCAGAGAACTGTGAGGGAAAGATCTGTTTCAGGTCCCTCTCCGTGGCTTGTAGATGAAAGGCTTCTCTCTGTGTCTCTTCACATCATCTTTCCTCAGTGCATGTCTGATTCCCCTTTGTAAAAAGACATCAGTCATACTGGACTAAGGACTACCCTAATGATATCATCTTAACTTGATTACCTACATTAAGATCCTATCTCCAAATAAGGTCACATTTTGCAGTACTGAGGGTTAGGACTTGAACATAAAAAGTTGGCAGGATGCAATTTACCTCAAAGATAAAGTTCAAAGCACTGCGAGAACTCCTAATTGTGGTATTTGAGGTAGGGTAGCCCAGGAAGTCTTTTTTTAGGGAGTGAAGCTGAGTGGAGACCTGGAGACTGAATGAAAGTTTACGATGTAAAGAGGAAAGTTAGCATTTCTGGCCATGGATAGGATACGTGTTAAACCCCTCATTGAGGAACAGCATGGTGAATACAATGTCTAAAAGAAGGCTAGCAAGGCTGGGGCAGAAGGTGACATGATCAGATTTGTATATTTTAAAATGTGGTGAAAATCTGAGGCCTATGGTATGTCATTTTTTTAAATTTTTTTTTCCAGAGAGGATTTGTTTGTTTCTCTTGGGTGGCTGTGATTACCAGCAATCAAAAATTAATGCAATCTGATCAGGACTCGAGATGATTTCCAGACAGGCCCTTGGACCATTGGTTTCCTTCCAGTTTGCCCTTCTCCTGAGATGTACCTATTTAGGGTCCCAATCTAAAACCTAAGGGGTCTATCAGAGCTGCCCTCATGAACAAGGGATGTGGGAGTGTCCCAGACTCCAAATTTTATACTTCTAGCTTTAAGAGTCTGTCAAAAATTCTTCTGAAGTCCTCAGCCTCTCTTGCATTCAGTAGGTGCCTGTAGGCATGGCTCTAAATGCCAGGTTCATCTCTCTGCATTTACTTTTCCTCTCAGCAGTGGTATTAGTTCAAATGACCTATTACACCATCACCTCAAATGATTGATAAATTGGAAAGAGGCAAGATGAATGCTGGTAAAATATACAGAAAATTTGACATTAGTTAAACATAATGATTCCAATAACTAGAGGAAGAAAGGTGGAAATGAAAAGAGAGGGGTAGATGGAAAAGCATTGTAAGGTAGAATTGCAGAACTGGGAATGGAGTATCAAGGAGAGATGGTGACTCCTAGCTTTCTAGTTTGAGCAATTGGATGGATGGCATATCATTCACTTACATAGGAAATATTTGGAGAGAATTGATGAGATGGGAGGCGACAATCACCAGTTTGAATTCAGATCTGTTGATTTTGAGGTGCTTTGAGACATACAAGAAGCTATATCACTTAAACACTTGTATGCATGAGCTTGAAAAACAGATCTGGACAGGAGAGATAAATTTTCACATTATCATGGATGGAGAAGACAGACTTGGATGGAGAGTTGAGAAACTCTAATATTTGTCTGTCTTTGCAATGGTGAAAGAGGGAAAGTGGGACTGGCCAGAGATGTATGAAGAAAACCAGAGGCCGGGCTCAGTGGCTCAAGCCTGTAATCTCAGCACTTTGGGAGGCCGAGGCGGGTGGATCACGAGGTCAAGAGATCGAGACCATCCTGGTCTACATGGTGAAACCCCATCTCTACTAAAAATACAAAACATTAGCTGGGCATGGTGGCGCGTGCCTGTAATCCCAGCTACTCAGGAGGCTGAGACAGGAGAATTGCCTGAACCCAGGAGGCAGAGGTTGCGGTGAGCCGAGATCGTGCCATTGCACTCCAGCCTGGGTAACAAGAGCGAAACTCCGTCTCAAAAAAAAAAAAAGAAAACCAGAAAATGTGAGAAGGTTAATGCTTCCAGAAGATCTAGTTAACAGTATGGACTACTGTTGAAAATTCAAGCATGATAATTATATACAGAAGACTTTACCAAAAGCAAGTTGCTAGTGAGGTGAGGTAGTAAACTACCACAACCTATATAAAGCTACTGGGAGAGCAACACTAAAAGCTTTAAGAAGACAATAAACCAGAAAACATTCTTTGTGATCTCAGAATAGGCAAAGATCTCTTGAAGAAGACATTTGTGATTGCATTAAAAATAAAATGACAATTACTAATTGCATGAATAATAAAATTGAAGATTGATGAATATGGCCACATTAAAATGAACAGCTTCTCATCCTCAAAATAGGCTATACCATTTAAGAAACAAGGTACAAAATGGAATAAGGTATTTTTAATGTTTAAAAATGACGAAGACTCTATACTCAGACTCTGTGAATAAAAAAGAAAAAGCAAAAGAGAAAAAAAGATAGACAACCCAATAGAAAATGAGCAAAAGACCTGAACAGACACTTGGAAAAAGAGGAGATCCAAATGGCCAATCAACATATGAAAAAGTGCTCACTGCACTCCAGCTTGGGTGACAGACTGAGACTTTGTCTCAAAAAAACAAAAAACAGTGTTCAACTTCTTTAGTAATTAAGCATATGCAAATTAAAACCATATTCCTCTTTGATTTACCAGTTCCTACCCTCTTACTCCACAATAATAAAAAGTTTGAGAACATCAAGTGCTGGCAAAGATGAATTCTCAGAAGCTGTTGGTGGGAAAACACATTAGTACAAAATTTTTAAACAGTTTGGCATCATAAAAGTGAAGGTACATAAAATTTTGACCAGATATTCCACTCCATGTGTAGAAATGGAATTTAAAAAAAACAGATATTCCACTCCATATGTAGAAATGGAATTTAAAAAAAACAATCAGAATTCCTGCACAAAAAGTGTTCTTTGAAGCATTGTTTACATATTCCCAGACGAGAAACAATTCAAATGTCCTTTGACAGTAGGATGGATAATCTGACCTTTCATTTAATGACGAATCATACAGTATTAAAAAATGGATGGCCTGAAGTTTACATATAATCATATAAATGAACCCCTTAATGCTGTCTTAAAGAAGCAAGATGAAAAAACAAGCAAGCAAGCAAGCAAACAAACAAAAAACACACAGAGAGAATGTGATTCTAACGACAGTGTTCAAAAATGGGTAAATGGCTGGGCACAGTGGCTCATGCCTATAGCTCTAGCACTTTGAGAGGCCAAGGTGAAATGGTCACTTGAACCCAGGAGTTTGAGACCAGCCTGGGTAACATAATGAGACCCCTATCTCTACAAAAAACTTAAAACTTTTTAACGAGTAAAATTAAAGTATATTGCTTAGAAATATGTACACTTAAGTGATAAAACTATAAAAAAGCAAGAATAGGTTATCACAAAAGTCAGAATAATGTTTACCTCTATGTGTGAGGGGACTGTAATTGGGAAGGAGGTGAGGTGAGGGGAGTTTTGGGGGTATGACATTGTTCTACTTTTTGACCAGAGTAGTGGCTATAAGGGTTATAAGGTTATAAAGAATTGCTTTCTAATTATTTTGTAAGATATATACGTTTTATGTTCTTCCTGTTTGAAAATTATCTCACTATAAAAAAGTAAAAAAAAAACAAAACTACTTCTAAAATTATATTACTTTATCCTGAATTAATTTTGCTATTTCTTCTACTGATACTTTTCAGCAGAAATTGATTAAATCAATGTGACAAATGAAGCTAGTAAAATGTAGCCACACACGTTTTATTTTGCTGCTAAAAATTCCCTATATTTGTGGAATCAGACAAAGATTTAAATTTTTTTTTTTTAATTTCTAGGTTGGCTCATTACAAGCATGCTTTCTTGCAAAGAGGAATTTCCAGATTGATGTATATGAAGCTAGGGAAGGTACATCCATGGTGAAAATTGTGTGATGAAGGCTGGGCGTGGTGGCTCCCAGCATTTTGGGAGGCCAGGGCAGGTGGATTGCTTGAGGCCAGGAGTTTGAGACCAGCCTGGGAAATATGGCAAAACCCTGTCTCTACAAAAAATACAAAAATTAGCCTGGTGTGGTGAATGTGCTCCTCTAGTCCCAGCTACTGGGGAGGCTGAGGTAGGAAAATTGCTTGAACCCAGGAGGCAGAGGTTGCAGTGAGCTGAGATCATGCTACTGCACTCCAGCCTGGGTGAAAGAGTGAGACTCTATTAAAAAAAAAAGGAAGGAGAGACAGAGAAAGAGAGAAAAGAAAGAAAGAAAGCACAAGAAAGAAAGAAACAGAGAGAGAGAAAGAAAGAGAGAGAGAGAAAGGAGGAAAGGAGGAAGGGATGGAGGGAGGGAGAGAAATAGAGAAAGAAAGAAGGAAAGAAAGAAAGGAAAAAGAGAGAGGGGGAGGGAGGGAGAAGGAAGGAAGGAAGGAAGGGAGGATTGCAGGATGTGGTTCTAATTCTTTGACCTATTTTTCTTTAGATTTTCTGAACTTAAACAGTCTATTTAATAAAACAATTTTTTAAAAAAACATTTTTTAAAAAAACATCTATCTCAATTTAATTTAATATAAATGTACTGCTATTAGCATTTTCTTTAGAAGAGTTACGAAGGTCTTTAATTTGGTTCTGAATGAAAAATTGTTCAGGTGCAGTAATTTTGCTCATCCTGGACTAGGATATAAAGTTGTGTGTAACATGGAGTTCTGCTTCCAATGTCTCAGATATTCGAGTGGCTAACTTCACACGTGGAAGAAGCATTAACTTAGCCCTTTCTCACAGAGGACGACAAGCCTTGAAAGCCATTGGCCTGGAAGATCAGGTACCGAATGTATTTTTTTAATAGAAGATAATACCTGGTATTTTTCAACAATTGCTTGGATTTCACTTCATCCTGGCTTAAAAAGTACCATTTAATGCCAAGAATCTCTGCATGAAACTCATTCGACTAAAGCTTTTAAAATTCAAAACTTGTTGGCAAGAGGGCAAACATTGGATGCTAGAGGCACCCGAGGGGGGTCCTGCAACCCATGATTGCTTCTAATATTGGGTTCTCAACAGGACAGTGCATCACTGCCTGTTTAAAGTGAGAGTCGAGGTGGCATCCAGGATAAGAGGAGCCAAATTCCTTTTTTTTTTAATCACACAGACCCATAATCTCTTACCCACAATTCTGTACTCCAAAAAAAACCTCTGAAAATAGAAGGCTTCTCATCATCCATTGAGTAGCAAAATCTGACCTGACAGGAGATACTTCAGTCTTTCAAAAATCTCATTTAGCATAAATATGTTTTGCTATAAATTTTGTGTTTGATTATGGGGTGGGTTTGGGAGATAGCCAACATATATGTACTACACTACTTTCTAAAATTGAAAATTTCTGAATTCTGAAACCATCGAGCCCCATGGGTTTGGCTAAACAATGGTGGGCCTATAGTAGATTTTCATCATATGAGCTTAATGTTGTAGAACTTCTCACTGTCTACATGTAGCTTGGTAATATAAACAAACATGTCAGATGTATTTTTCTCGATACTGTTTTCAGTGACAATGTGTCTTTGAGCTGTTAATACAAGTAAATGTGAGTGCTATTTGCATTCTTATTATTTCCTCCCAGATAGCAGCAGCCATGTGTAAGAAAACACTCTACACTGAATGGCAGGAGCCCCAGGTTTTACTCATAATATGCCTTTTTGTCATGATGACAAAATCACTTAACCTCTCTAACACCAAATCACTTTCCTTGATCTGTGATATTTGATTTAGATCAGATAAATTTTAAGCCAGTTCTAAGATCTAAGATTTAAAAAACAAAAAACTGAAAGCTTCAGGATCACCATTTTCATTGAAGGAGTTTCTACCATGTTGGGCTTCTATCGTTCTCACAATTTAAAAAAATTTTTTGAAAATATGTGAAATTACATTTAAAAATCAATTTGTATCTTTCTTGTATAATGCCATGTTACTGTCATTGAAGTCAACATTTCTGGTTTCATTTCAGATTGTATCCCAAGGTATTCCCATGAGAGCAAGAATGATTCACTCTCTTTCAGGAAAAAAGTCTGCAATTCCCTATGGGACAAAGACTCAGGTAGGTTTACCCTGGTGATCATTGCTTGTGCATTGATTGTAACTAAGTCAACATCTGAAACTTGCCTCTTGCCTGATGGCCCCTCCCTCTCCAGCCCTATCTCTGACATTGCTTGGCTCAGTCTAGACCCCAGGAATAAATACTAGTTAGCAAGTTTATTCAGAGGAGATGCTCGAAAGAAGGCCCAGCCAAGAATAAACATTCAAAAAGAATTAGCTGTTACTGTTCTTAGTGTACAGTTTCTTGCCTTTGTGCCGCCCCACTACCAGGGACATCCTTTCCCTCTTTTCTCCTTTTCAATTAGATACCAATGACTACCTTATTTGTCATCAAGCACAACATGCAAGAACAATCTAGAGGGTTTCATGATGTTATTGCCCTTCCCTCACTCACCCTGTTGCTCAAAACTGGGCTTATAATAGAATGTAGAGAATGATCTAGAAATGCTTACAGTACTACATGATTTCTAAAACAACAGAGGCCAGATGAAGACAGAGAGTTTACCAAAGGCGAATCATTATCCTGCTTTGTGCTCTCCTTATCTTTCACATAGTAACACACAGAACAAGGAGAAATATGTATTTTATCTAATTATACCTTCTGATTCTGTTTCTTGAGACAGAATGAATGCATCAAACACCCATCCACAGGAGAAAAACTCTAACTTGCTTTATTTTTATCCAGCCATGCCTCCTTTCATTAAGTGCAGAGTCTGAGTGAGATTCATATCCAAGTCTCTGACCCTCAGCAGAGCTCCGATTGGAGGTAGACCTGTGCTTCTCAAGCTCACATGGAATCTTGTGAAAATGCAGTCTGACTCAGTAGGAATGGGGTGGAGGCAGAGGTTCTGTGTTTCTAACAAGCTCCCAGGTGCTGGTTCATGAATCACACTTTGGGTAGCAAGAGATAAAGCACATATGTTCATGGGAACACGATCTTCGTGGCTCTTGGGATGATCAGTGTGGCTGAAAGTAAAACATTCCATCCACTCAGGGCTTTGGGAGTCAGGGCAAGCTCAACACTTTCTATTTAATGACTTTTTAAAAATAATAACCTGCTTATTTTGGCCTTATAAAAACACAGGTACAGAGTCTTAATACATGAGCCTGGTAGGGGGAAGAAATACTAGAGTCACCTTCAGTGGGAAAAACATTTTCAGATAATTAACATGTCATTTAAATTGGCCCCCAATTGAGCTAGGTGCTATAGGAAAGACAAAAGAATTGTCTCTCCTCAGCAGACAAGTAAGATTTGCATAACCAAGTCAAATATAAGCTGTCCATATTAAATGTGTCACTCCAGTAACCAATAATTGCCCCTCTTGCATGCCATGCCCTGAGCAAGTTGCTGAGCGTAAAAGAAGTGCTTGTAGCCCAGGAGGGATGGACAGTGATCAGATTCATGGGAAAAAACCTTGGGTGAGTGATGGCTCAGACAAGGAAATCTAAAGTGGCTCAGAGAGGGAGAAAAGTTTTAGTTTTCAGGGAAGACTTCCCAGAGAAAGTGAGATTGGAAACCAACATTTTGTTTAAATCTTAAATTGGCAGCAAAATAGTTGTCCCAATCAAATGGGGATGTATCTATGGAAGGAAATTGGATGAGATCCGATATCTAAGAAATGTACATTTTTAAGTGCCAAGTGTGTATTGGATGAGAAAACTTGTAAATACACTTTAGCATGACAGAATCTTACAGTGATTCATTGAATCCACCCACCATGGTTTACAGATGAGGAAACAGGCTGCATGACTTACATGAGGGTAATGCTGAGGAAGAGTAAGTCAGGTTTCATCACCGGAGCACGGCCCTTACACGTGGTACAGGAGCCCGGGGGCTACTGCTCAGATGCATTTACTTCTTTCGCTAAGTTGAGAGTAAAATCAACTTAATCATCTCACTGTTCACTTGTATTAACAAGGGATGTACTGAGGAAGGCCAAGTCATCACCGCCATCCCCGCTTCAGAGGCTGAACCAGTAACACGTATCCGTAGATAAGATAGTCTTCAAATATCAGAAAAGCTAAATGAGGAGATAGATTTGGGCCTGACACCATCACCCTCACCACTGTGTCTGTCTGTGTGTGTGTGTGTGTGTGTGTATGTGTGTGTGTGTGTGTGTGTGTGTGAGAGAGAGAGAGAGAGAGAGGGTGCATACATTCCTCGAGATAGTGAGTGTTGGTGGAGTTCCCATTTTGTGGCCTTCAATGCATTACAAGGAGGAAATGGCCCCTACCACATAATTCCTGCTACTTCTCAATTCTTAAGAACTGAGTTAATGCTAAATTTACAGGTGCCCTTCATACTTCAGTTTTTCTTTATTGTTACTTTTATGTCTCAGTAAAATACAGGGGCTTCCTTGCTCTTTAAAAAAGACATACAATTGCTTTAACTGGTCAGTTCCACAGCCTTGGAAGCACAAAGCCATTCCCATGACTCCAGGATTTCTCCATATCCCCGGGGAGCCTACCTTCTCTTGGCTTCCTTTGCCTCTTGGTACCCCACTCCTTCTCACCTGGTGTTGGCCACATACCCTGGTGGTCTGGATTTGAAATCTCCTCCTCAAATTCCGACAGACAATACTCACTCAAAAGATGCATGAGTCTGCTGAAGACCTACGGGTCATGAAGAGACCTCCTTGTGCACGGCATGGGCAATGACTTAGAAATGTCTAATCTGCAAATGTTGTCCTCCAAAATCCTTTCTGACTCCCTTCCCTGGCCTCCTCCTTCAGCTGTTTTTTCCTTCTGAACTTTCTCTGATGTGATGTCCAGACTCTTCTTGTCTTGCTGGGTCCTCCCATCTTCTCCCCAAACTGCCCTGGAAACTGTCAAAATATTCTCTAATACACAAAACAGGTCAGAGCTCCCCAATTCTTAATCCTAACCTCCTATGCTCAAAATAGAGAAATGGCTCCCCCTTACTAGAAAACATTCTCATTTGAAGGCATTGAGAATAGAGAAAATAAACATGTTTTTCTAACAAATCTGAGGTAGTCAGTACTACGTATAACTAACGTCCTACAGATCTTCAAAGGATATATCTAATCTTTCTTAGGTCTTACTATTATCTTTTTCGTTAAGATAGAGGCCACTTTATAGCTCTTGACTTGTTTATTCTTATTTATTCTTCATCAGACCAATCTTTTAGAATAAATATTGAAGAAGTATTACTTGATGGGAATGACTCAAACCTTTGGTTGTGATATAATACAGTCCAAAGATATGGAGTAGACTAGAAAGGGACATTCTGGTGCTCCTGCAGGGCTGACATGTCTATTAGTTCCCTGATGAGTGAAGTGGAAAGAACATATTTTCCCCATGTAAATTAATCTTCATAATTTGAGCCAAGCACGGTGGCTCATACCTGTAATCCCAGAACTTTGGGAGGCAGAGGCGGGTGGATTGCTTGAGCCCAGGAGTTGAAAACCAGCCTGGGCAACATGGCAAGACACTGTATCTATTTAAAAAATTAAAAATTAGTTGAGCAGTCCCAGCTACTTGGGAGACTAAGGTGGGAAGATCGCTTAAGCAGGGAGGCTGAGGTTGGAGTAAGCCATGATCATGCCACTACACTCCAGCCTGGGCAACAGAGCAAAACCCTGTCTCAGAAATTTTTTTAAAAATAGAAATTAAAAAACCTTTATAATTTGAATGTTTCCTAACAGACTTTAAATAACAAGCTTGATTTCTGTTGCAATACAGTCTATTAACAACCTAGCTTTGAGGCAGAGAATGAAGATGTTTCAGTTCATTTTAAATTATACAAAGACAGGAAGCCCCTTTTCAGTCATTGCCATTGACCAAGTTATTCTGACACCAAGTACAGATTTGGCTGTTAATATATACTTCTACTTTTGGATGAAGTGAGAATTTATAAATTAGCATATATATATTACATATAAATTAGTATATATGTGTTTATAAATTAGTATGTGTGTATGTGTATATATATACATATATATATCACTTTGACATGTGTGTATATATATATACATATGTATATAAATATATATGTATCTATATACACACATGTCAAATTGATTTTAGTTTACTTTTAAATCAGAAGGAAAAAAGTGGCCGGGCATGGTGGCTCACACCTGTAATCTGAGCACTTTGGGAGGTCAAGGTGGGCTGATATCCTGAGATCAGGAGTTTGAGACCAGTCTGGCCAATGTGGCGAAACCCTGTCTCTACTAAAAATACAAAATTAGTTGGGTGTGGTGGTGTGCACCTGTAATCCCAGCTACTTGGGAGGCTGAGGCAGGAGAATCTCTTGAACCCAGGAGGTGGAGGTTGCAGTGAGCCAAGATAGCACCACTGCACTCCAACCTGGGTAAGGGAGCAAGACTCTGTCTCAAAAAAAAAAAAAGGAAAATAAAGCATTGTAGGCCCTTAGGCACTATGATTCCCTTGCCTCAAGGAAGGGTCAGCTTTGCTGAAATGTCCTATGAAGTCAGAAACAACCAACCCATGTCTCATGCGAAGACTGGTCCTACTCCTACCAACCCTTCATCCCTACCACAACCCACACCCACACCCACACCCACACCCACACACACCGCTTTTACATTGAAATGAAGGCATTCAAAGTTGTCTCTTTGGGGAATGGCAATTTGATTTTAGTGATATTGTCATCACTGAAGTTTTTCTAAGAGCTAAATTTGGAGACCTAAGCTGAAAATATTTGATTATAAAACAAAACTTTCTTGATGAAAATTATATTTTAGCTGCAAGAGAAGAATTTGACTTTTAAAGTATTAAACTTTGAAAAAGTCTAAGTGTAAACTTGGATATTGTATTATATGTATTTGGTTAAAGTGTTTTTTTAAAAAAATAAAAAATAAAAAAACCAAAGGTCACTTAACTAAATGATTACAAAACTAAGCTTGCAACCCTCTGCTAAATAATAAATACATTTTATTGCTGAGTGAATAACTTAAAATTATATTTGTCCATTCACCAGAAACAAACTGTATCTACTCTACTTTTCTTGCAGTATATTCTTTCTATAAGCAGAGAAAATCTAAACAAGGATCTATTGACTGGTAAGTCTAAAGCTTTGATTCACCAGTTGTCATTTTGAGTAAAGCACATGACACTAATCTTAACAGATTTGTTTGCGGCTCCTTTTTACGGGTTATGAAGAGCAAGACTGTACATTACAGAGTCCTTCTTGAAGCTAGGTATGACAGCTCATGCCTGTAATCTCAGCAATCTGGGAGGCTGAAGCCAGGATCTCTTGAGCCCAGGAGTTTGAGACCAGCCTGGGCAACATGGAGAGACCCCATCTCTACAAAAAATAAAAAATTAGCTGGGTGTGGAAGCGTGTGCCTATAATCCCAGCTACTCAAGAGCCTGAGGTGGGAGGATCACTCGAGCCAGGGAGGTCAAGGCTGCAGTGAGACGTGAGCAATGTGATTGTGCCACTGCACTCCAACCTGGGCAACAGAGCAAGACCCTGTCTCAAAAAAAAGAAATAAATAAACAAAGTCCTTCTTGAAAATACCAATTGCCTAAAGTTTTTAGAGACAAGTCCTTGCTGTCGATCGGGCTGGAGTACAGTGCTGTGATCACAGCTCACTGCAACCTCGAACTCCTGTGCTCAACTGTCTTCCCACCTTGGCCACTCGAGTAGCTGGGACTATAGACACATGCTACCACATATGATTAATTTAAAAAAAAATTTTAAAGGCAGAGTCTTGCTATATTGTTCAGGCTGGTCTTGAACTCCTGGCTCAAGTGATTGTCCCACCTCAGATTCCAGAGTAGCTGGAATCACAGGTGCTAACACCCATTGCACTGGCAATTATCTAAATTGAAATCATTTGTTCAACATATACTGCACCCCTATGGTCTCTTAGACACTGAGTGAATGAGTGCTCACTCTGATGAAGAATTCACACTCTAATGGAACGACAGATAAACTCAAACAATTTGTAAAGTGACACAATGAGATTTGCCTTTTAGAGAGATGAAAAGCTATAGTGGGAAGACTGAGAAAGGGTTGCAATCTTCAAGGCATTTCCATAAACTCTGGGTGCAGAAGAAGGACCCAGGAATAAAGCTATAGTAATGTGGTTGGAGAATAGGGTGTAGATTCATGATATTTGTAAGAGAATAAATAGATACAGAAAATTGAAAAAGGGAAAGGCGTAAAACATAACCCTGAACTTTTAAATTTGTGTAACCAAAAAGGCCTACCTATCCATGTAAAAGCCACTGGATTACAAATTAAATATGTAGCTTGCATAGTCAATCCAATCACACCCCATGTAGCCCTTACTAAGTTTAAGCCCAGATTGTAGTAGCTTTTCCTCCCTTCAGCATTTGTATTAAGCAGATTTATTCCCAGCAAAGCATGCTACTCAATATTTCTACTATCTTTAAAATTTGTCCCTTGTGATGGAGTCCAGTAGACTCTGATTTCTGAACAGAGGCTGTACATGATTTATCTTTGTTTCTCCTCAATCCCCTCAATATATCTGCTGAATGGAATTGAATCTAATGGGATTAAACTGGGAGGAGGAGGGCTATGAGGAATTTCACTTTAGTTGATTCATCAGATACAAGAAAGAAAGTTTAGTATTGTTATTAATCTTATTTCTTTAGTTACATTTGTCAGACTGCCTTCTGGATGGGTAGATGGGTGGAGTGGAGCCAGTTTGCTAGGTATATTCAGGTTGATCTCAAGAAAGTAAATGAACCAGCTGGGTGCAGTGGCTCACATCTGCAATCCCCGCACTTTGGGAGGTTGAGGAGGGAGGATGGCTTGAGCCCTCCAGGGTATAGTTGCACCACTGCACTCCAGCCTGGGCCACAGAGCAAGATGTCAACTCTAAAATATCAAAACAAAACAACAACAAGAAAACCCCATACAAAACAGCTTTTACAAAAAGCAGTATAGCAGACCTATGACACCGTCTTTCTGAGACCCTCCCAATTCATCAAGATAAAAATAATAGCAAACATTCATTGAAGCACCAGGCTCTATGTCAAGTGTTTTACATGCATAGATTTGCATAAACCTTCCAACAACTCTATGGAGAGAAATTACTTTTATCTCTGGTGAAATGGAGGCTTAGAAAGCTTGGATCACACTGTTAATAAGTGGTAGAATCTGGATTTGAATTTGAGTTTGTTTATTCCAAAGTCCATGCTTTTCACTATTGATGATTTCTTCCTCCAATATTATATATAAAACATCTGCTAATATGAAGGAGGCTAAAACATGGGAAAGGTACAATCTTGGTGTACACATCAGAAGTTCCCGAATTGTTTTTCATTAGGAGTGCTCTGCGTGGCATGCAACTTCATAAATGCCAAAAATATGTCCATAAAATGAATACTGAATCTCTCGACTCTTCAACTTTGTTAGGCACAGAAAGTTCGTTCTTTCTTTACAAAGTATTGAATGTGGGAGGTTTTCATTCCACATATTTAATCAATTAGAAATGCTCATTTCTCCCTAACTGCAAAACCTCCCTCTGAAAACACTGTCACTACATGATTTCCCTATATCAGCTTTTCACGTGGGATTGTTTCATAGTTCATTCACTATTCTGCAAAATGTCGGTAATTGTTAAGTCAAACAAAACAGACAAAGGATATGTGAACGAATAGGTTTGACAAATCCTGCATCAAACAAGTTTCCAGTCTTTTTTCCTGCAGTACTTCTCAGGGCTTTTATTGTATACTTGGTCTGCATTGTGGATCTTTCAGAGCAGCACAGTGCAACATGTGGCCACAAATACCAGGCACATGTATACTTTTCAAATTTATACTCACCATGATGAAAACAAAAACAAAAAAGAAGCAGGTGGTGTTATTTTTTAATAAGATATTTTAACCTAGGCCAGGTGTGAGGGCTCACATCTGTAATCTCAGCACTCTGGGAGGCCAAGGCGGATGGATCACTAGAGGTCAGGATTTCAAGGCCAGCCTGACCAACATGGTGAAACCCTGTCTCTACTAAAAACACAACAATTAGCTGGGTATGGTGGTGTGCACCTGTAATCCCAGCTACTTGGGAGGCTGAGGCAGGAGAATCACTTGAACCCGAGAGGCAGAGGCTGCAGCAAGCTGAGATGGCACCACTGTACTCCATCTTGGGCAATAAGAGCAAAACTGTCTCTAAATAAATAAATACATTTTAAAAAAGATATTTTAACCTAATACATCCAAAATATTATTATTTCAATATATAATCAATATCAGAAAGTTATTCACTGTCATTCCTTTTAAATGTACTTTTAGTTCTAATTTGCCAAAATCCTGTGCAGGCAACACATCTCAACGTAAGATTGCCACACTTCAAGCATTCAAATGCCACATACAGCTAGACACCAGGACAGCGCAGACCAAGACAGAGTATTCACCATTACTCTGCTGTCTTTGACAAAAGAACAGTTTTTTTAGGGAGTATATCCCAGGACTAAAGTTCTATAAAAAAATTATTTAGGATGTAATACTATACACTTATGTAAAAAATAAAAATAAAAAATTTTAAAGTTTTTTTCACAAACATATGTTATGTTTCTAAAATATATCCTTGGTATATCAGGTCAACTCTGATTACTCCAAAGTTATTTGTTAAATTATTTCTTATACACAGATGAATTTCTTTGGTTTAGGGTCTCTCAGGTTTTGCAAGAAAGCTAAAATCTTCAAACCCCAAATCTAACTGAAACAAAACAGAATAAGGCGAGATTGAGATGAAGAGGAGAGATAAGTGCAGACAGAAATATTGAGTTGGACGGCAGAACTCCTGACTTATTTTTCTCATTTTTTCTAATTCAACATTCTTTTTATTTACTTTCTTTACATACAAAAACCGTACGTAATTAATGTATGCCACTTGATGAGTTTGGTTCTTAACGTTTTCACTTTGTGTGATCTCAGGCATTTTACCTTTGCTTGCAGAATCTTGGTCACTCCCTTTTTAAGATGAAGAACTAAATCATCTCTGAGGTCTATTCCAGCTCCAACACCTGTATTCTAATTTGTACCTTTAAGAACAATAAATAGGCTGTGTTTATTGATGAATACATGAGCATTAATAGGGACAAGATCATATTTTACTGTTGTAACAAGAACATGATTAATAGTTCATAAAATGAAATCCACTCAATTCTCTAGAGCGCTAGCAGGCAAAACAGAAAATTACTAAAATAATTGGGTTAGTTTATTGAGAAGTTTCAAAGCTTCTTACTCATTTTCCCCCTAACTATTCCGGTGTTTGATTTCAAAGAGATTTAAAATCAATAACCTCTATTTGTGACAACTTCAATCAGAAGTCCAGAAAACTAGCTAAAAAGGAGATGTAGAGACGTGCATATATGTGGAAAGGGGTTTGACTGAATATTTCCAATCACAGTAAAGCCTCAGATTACAGGCAACTTTTGAAATATGTGATGCTTGCTTCTTTCCCAGGGTGCTAATAATTACAGCAATGCAAGAGTTTGCACAACGGAATTAGTTGGATATTTTCTTTTTGAGATGAGGGTAATTGATTTTTATTCATCTGTTTTACTATCAAATTATACTGAAATCGTTGCCAAACAGTTATCAAATTATCATTTAAGCGAATTTAGTTTTACACTGTTATGAATAAAATTCTTACCATACTGTTCCCAGAAAATAATTAATATTTCAATTTGATCAAGTGAAATAAGAATTGAAATTTCATTTCCATTTGCCTCTTTCTTCGTTTCCTCAGCTGTTGAGAAATATCCCAACGTGAAAGTACACTTCAACCACAGGCTGTTGAAATGTAACCCAGAGGAAGGAATGATCACAGTGCTTGGGTAACTATGGGTCAGGTTTTGGATTTCAGAGGTGAAAGCTGGGAGTGGAGAATTGTATCTGTAAACTTTGTTCTTCGGCTCTTTGGAAAGAGTTAAAAGATTATTGAAAGGGTAATCCAAATAGTTTCTAGATTCAAAGAATTTTATATTGAAAATAGGGCCCTGATGTCTTCTGAACACTAATGCCAATAATTTCTAATTCTCACCCTTACTTACCTTCCTGCTGCACTCTGTTCCACACTGGTGACTCTAACATGCTTCAAACTCTCTCCTCTCTCAAAACGAGGTGACCTTCCGCTGCTCTCCTCCTGTTCTCTTTTCAGGTGCTATTTCTCTGCCTTTCCTCGGATGATTCTATTTTATCTCAAGTTCGAAGCCTCATATCCTACTCTTGCGATATTCTATGGATCCACAGTCCTGGGTTCAACAACCACCTCTCTTAAATAAACATTCCAGTCCACGCCTCTCTCTTTGTTCTACATCCTTATAGAAGCTCTAATCAATTTATGTCAATTTCTCGTTGAACATCCTTGCGGGAACACCTGGCCATTATCTCAAACACATCTAAAACCTTGATCACCTACTTCTCCCAAATCACATCCCATTCCCGACTTCCCCAGTAACAGTGCCCAGCTAATTAGAATCATTTGTGATGTGTTCTTTCCCCATCCTCTCTCATTAAATCTATAACACTCCCCAGTCTTCCTTACTTCCTATTGGCTTCAGAGTCTTGTCTTTCTCCTTCCAGCTGCAGGACAGTGCTTCTGGCCCTCACCCCTGCACGTGTAATATAAGATGTTGCTATTACCCCATCCCTGTTTTTGGCTCCCTTTGGCATTCTGCCTCTGCTTCAAACTGCCAAGGAAGTTTTCTTAAATTACAACTCTTCATGCATCATTCCCCTAATAGAAAATTTCAGTTTCCCTTTTGCCAGAATAATGTTTTAAAATCTTTTATCTTAACATTCAAGGTTCTTTTCATCTCCTCGTTCCTTTCTCTCCCTACCTTCTATTCTTTTCTTAAGCTTATCTCCTCATACCTCTGCTTAAGTCAAATGTATTGTTCTTAGAAAATCCTGGTCACATCCTTGTGGTTCTTCATACATCCGTTTGCACACTTGAAACACTCTCTCTGTTTTCAAGATTCTCCTCCTACATGCAGAAATCTCAAATCCTGTCATCCATACTTCTGTGGCCTACCATGTCTTCATTAATCAGTATGGTTTTGTGTTATTCTCATAAGCAAACTTATGACTGAGACAAGAGTTTTCATCTAAATGTTGTATCTACTAACTCAAAGCCCAAGTCACACATATAAAAGTGAGATTTCTAAGTTATCTATGGAGCCACTACTTGTCATACCCAGATGCACATCATCATTTTCACCACTAGACATTTTTTTCTTTTGGATGGTTTGTTCTATTTTTCAGATCTGACAAAGTTCCCAAAGATGTCTCCTGTGACCTCATCGTAGGATGTGATGGAGCCTATTCAACTGTCAGATCTTACCTCATGAAGAAGCCTCGCTTTGATTACAGCCAGCGGTACATTCCTCATGGGTACATGGAGTTGACTATTCCACCTAAGAACGGGGATGTAAGTCCACAACCCTCGCACCATGAGTGCAAATGCATATGCTAGTGCAGTGGTTTTCAGCAGCATGTCTTGATTCATTTTGAGGCCTGCCACAAGAACTTTGTGATTAATAATAAATTAGATGCATGGGTATCTTTTTAATAATACAATTCTCACTCCTTTCTTTTTTGATAACCTTTTTTGAGTGAAAAGAAAAGAGAAGGCTGGGCACAGTGGCTCATGCCTCTAATCCCAGAAATTTTGGAGGCCAAGGCAGGAGGATCACTTGAACCCAAGAGTTCAAGACCAGCCTGTCTCTGTAAAAAATGCAAAAATTAGCCAGGATGGTGACATGTGCTTGTGGCCCCAGCTACTCAGGAGGCTCAGGCGGAAGGATTGCTTGAGCCCAGGAGGTCAAGGTTGCAGTGAGCCGAGATCATACCACTGCACTCTATCCTAAGCAATATAGCTCAAACCCGTCTCTACAAAAGGAAGGAAGGAAGGAAGGGAGGGAGGCAGGGAGGGAGGAAAGGAGGGAGCGAGGGAGGGAGAGAGGGAGAGCAGTTACAACCCCCCTACTGGAAAGGGCATTTGAATAATATTTGTCTATGTTCTCTTAAGAGAAAAAAACAGGTTGAGGCTGAATCCTTCAGTATTCTGACAATCCAGTGTTCTTATAACCATGATTAAATCAAATAATAGTTATTAAGTAAAATGACTAGAAAAATGTTGCAAAGAGATTTCTATTGTGTTTTTCTCATTTCCTGGTTCCCACTGTTAAACCATATGGGGCCAGAGGCAAATAAGCAGTATGTAATTTATTATATTGTCATAAGCAAATAAGTATAGGAACTTGTTAAGGAAAACAATGCTAACAGAAACAATAAGGATATTGGCTTATACCGATGGATGTGCAACTAACATTAAATACTTGATTTGCATATAAAGCATACATTTTTAAGATGCTGATTTAATCTCTCCTCTGAAATCCAGACAACTGTAAAATAGTCAATATGGAATAGCATTGTTAAATATCAACAAACTGTATCCACCAGTAATATCCATATTTTAACATTTCATTACCTTTCTATTTCATCCTCACGGTCGAAATGTATTTGCTAATTTTTCAGTGCTTATTTTACTGGTTTTCAGGTAGGTTCTGTTATCATGGCCCAGAATCTGGTAACTCTGGATGATAGGATAACAGAATTCTGTTGAAAAATTGTTCCAGACTGAAGAAGAACTGTGCTCGTAGATTTAAGAAAGCCCCTTTATTATCTAGGTATACATAATAAATAGTAACTATTAATGGTTTTTAAAAATGTCTCCACTCTTTTAAGAACATTTTTTAGACATAGCAATGTTACTCAGACATGGGAACATTTTGACATGGCCCAAAAACAATCTTATGAGACTTTCTCTATTTTTCTTTCTGTTTTTTTCTTTTGTTCTTAATGTAATGCATGCAATACACAGTTGCACTCCTCTGATGGTTGCAGTGGGGGCAAGGGATTGGGTGAGTGGCTTTCTACCACTAGTATTACTATTAAAAAGAAGTAATTGCTTTTCATATGTATTCATCTTGCCTATTCAATTGCGCTGTGAGGTCAAGAGACATGCATGCACTCATTTCTGTGTCTGTGTGTTGGGCTTTCTTTGGGAATCTGAGGCTAAAAAAAAACAAGAAAAGCTCAGTCCCTTCACCTAAGACACAAATAACTATGATACGGTGTAAAAATGTTAGCTCCAAGACTAGGCTGTTTTTTCGGTATTCTTGCTGTGCAAGATACACATTTGTAAAAAATAATACAAATTTGAAATAGTTGGAAAATTGGTTGCATATTTTTATGTCTATAATGTCCCTGGGAACCTTCAAAAATTTGGGTCACTTGGGCCTTTGGATCAATTGATCTACCCACACAATTAATACTTCCTTGGGGCTGTTATTGTATTAATAGTAATCACAAAGGAGTCACTAAAGAGACAAGACTCTTCTCTATTATTTATGTTATAGGAAACAAATGATAAAAAGCTTATTTCTAAACTTTTGGTTTTGGCTCATGAAATTTAAGACCTCCTGTCCAGGATAGGTAAGTTCTGAAAAAAGGCAAAAGGTAAAGTAACTTATACACACACAAAGTAACGTATACACACATACACATCTAGATATGTGCATGTGTGTGTACATAGATACCAGGTATAATTATACCAGGTATAATTCAACATTTGAGAAAATAAGATGCTCTCTCTGTCTTTTTTCATACATGTACACACACATACAAGTATTCTAAAATCGTAAATTACACGTGATATCAAAAACCCACCCAAGATTGAGTTTATAAAGACAGAACACAAAGTATTTTCTAAGGCAACTTCTATTTTATGTGGCAAGAGATGTGCATATCATTGTGCATATGGTACTGTTGTTTAAGTTACTGTAGACACTATTATAAAGCTGAGTCAGTTTTATACATTTACTATATTAATGTACTTATATATCATATATTCTTTTTTCTGCAGTATGCCATGGAACCTAATTATCTGCATATTTGGCCTAGAAATACCTTTATGATGATTGCACTTCCTAACATGGTAGTATAGAATTTTCTATCAACTATAATTTTGCATCTATAATTAATGTTATTACTCACTTTTGTACTTAGAATGTATACACCTAATTGATCTCTTCGTTATTTAATCTATTTAGTGATTACAGCTTTGAAATGTTGGGATTACTGAGAAAAAAAAATCTGAAGGAATTCCAATTATTTACTTTGGAAAGGAGATTTAATTTACATGGATGAATGACAAGAGTTTATGTGTGGTGGCGCCTGTCATCTTCACTAAAGACAGTGTAGGAGGAAATGCACACCTCCCCGCCCCCAGTAAAGCCAAAAAGATTTAGGTTATCTGTTAGGAAGTGATTCAGCCTTTAAGGTCTGCAAGACATTGGAATATGCATTATCAAAACAGAGCATGGGGCTGGGCACAGTGGCTCACACCTATAATCCTAGCATTTTGGGAGGCCAAGGTGGGAGGACTGCTTGAACTCAGGAGTTCAAGACCAGTGTGGCCAACATAGCAACACCTTGCATCTACTGAAAAAACAATTTTGCCAGGTGTGGTGGCACATGCCTGTAGTCCCAACTACTCAGGAGGCTGACATGAGAGGATTGCTTGAACCCTAAGATGGAGCCTGCAGTAAGCCATGATCATCCCATTGCATTCCAGCCTGGACAGCAAAGCAAGACCCTATCTCAAAAAAAAAAAAAAAAAAAAGAGAGAGAGAGAAAGAGAGATCATGGGTTTTCTCTCATTAGACCCTAGAGGCTTTTTTGCTAGATAGATATAGCTGTTTCTTTGGTTGGGATCTTTTTCTTTCTGTTGGTACCTGTCCAGGGGTCCAGGGCCTATTCATACTATCTTAAAAGGAAGAAGAGGAGATGCCAAATCTAACTAACCTATTAGTAATTTAAAGAGTGTAGGCAGGGAGTGCTGGCTCATGCCTGTAATCCCAGCACTTTGGGAGGCCAAGGTGAGTGGATCACCTGAGGTCAGGAGTTCGAGACCAACCTAGCCAACATGGAGAAACTCTGCCTCTACTAAAAACACAAAAAATTAGCCAGGCATAGTGGTGTGCGCCTGTAATCCCAGCTACTCAGGAGGCTGAGGCAGGAGAACCGCTTGAGCCTGGGAGGCGGAGATTGTAGCAAGCCAAGATCATGCCACTGCACTCCAGCCTGGGCAATGGAGGGAGAAGACTCTGCCTCAAAAAAAAAAAAGAAAGAAGAAAAGAAAAAAAAGAGTGTAATATTTGCTGTGTGAAAATGAAGAGTTTACAGTATCGAAGTTGTCCGAATAATCAAAGAAGCTCGGGAGCACCCCTGGGACTTGGCAGAACTTTTCTTTGGGAGCAAGGGAACAAGTGACAGTGCCTTTACTGTCTGCCTGGACATTCCTTCCAAAAGCTCCCTGGTCACAGCAAGAAGTCTTGTGATTTCGGGACCCACTTACAGTGCCGGCATCACTTGACCCCCTATCCCCTTTCACTCTGTTTCTCTTCTTCTCACAGAACAAATCATTCACATGTACTTTGTTCATGCCCTTTGAAGAGTTTGAAGAACTTCTAACCAGTAGTGACGTGCTGGATTTCTTCCAGAAATACTTTCCAGATGCCATCCCTCTAATTGGAGAGTAAGTTGCAAGTTGTGCCTTATGCTCTGTTTGTTTGAATTATTCCAAATTCAAGTAAAGGTTACGCACCTGATTTCAGCTTTGGTTAAACATGATGGATCATGCAGTCATCTGTACAGAAACCTACATTAGAGCAGAAGTCTAAGTGGATGTTGTGCTGTGAGCAGGAATTCTGAAAAACACCCATGCTGTGGCCAGTTTCTCCGGGAAAGATGAGCCACCAATGTCCCAAGGCTTTTGTGTATCTTATGCAGGCTCCTCAGGCTCCCTAGGGCTCGGTGTGCCACAGAAACCGGCTGAACTTTTTTCTACTGGTAGATACACAAATCTTTGGCACAGCCGATACATCCGGCATCAAGTCTCAGATCCCATACTTACTCGCCACATAAGCTTTCCCATGTGCCACTCATGGTAAAAGGTTGATAAATGATAGAACCTATCCCAAAGGGTTGCTATGAGGACCAAATGACATCATGTCTATAAATCATTCAGCACAAGGCTTGACACATATTAAGGTGTCTATCTAGACGCCTCCAATGATGTTTTCATGAAGGCAGCACAATGGTACTGAGAATATGCCTTAGTCACTTCGGTTGGCTATAATGAACCTACCATAGACTCGGTGGCTTATAAGTGACAGAAATGTATTGCTCACAGTTCTGAAGGCTGACGAGCATAAGATCAAGGCGCTAGCAGATTCGGTGTCTAGTGACACCCCACCTCTTGGTTCATAGATGACAGTTTTTTGCTGTGTCCTCACATGCTAGAAGGGGCATGGGATGTCTCTGGAGTCCCTTTTATAAAAGCACTAATGCCATTAATGGGAGGTCCACTCCCAAGACCTAATCACCACCCAAAATCCCCATCTCCAAATATCATCACACCGGAGATTAGGAATCCAACATGGGAATGTTAGGGGTACATAAATATTCAGTCTATAGCAGAGCAATATTTTAATACTGCTTCTGCCCCTTACCTCCCTGAGTTTCACCTTTAAAATGGGTATCATAATATCTACCCTAGGGCATTTGTGAAAATTAAATGAGCTAATTATGTAAAAGGGACAACCCACTGCTGGCCCATAGCAGGTCTTTTAAAAATTGCTGGTCACTTGCTTTCTTGAAGACTAAGTTAGTCTGTATGGATCCCTCCTTCTCCAACAGTGAAATCTCTGCACACCAGAATTAGCCCTTATGTACTTTTAAACTGGTTTCATGGCTATTTTTTGCCTCTCCAGCCAGATTTAAGATTCTTGAGGCTATGTCTTGTTTGCCTACTTAGAACTTCCTCAATACGTCTATAGATGCTGTACAAATGTTAGGTTTTTGTTTGCTTTTTATTATAAGCACCATGTTGTAAAATAAATCTCTTATTCTTCCTGTCTAACTGAACTTATTCTTCCTCTGTACCATTTGACCAAATTATTCCAATCCCCCAAATACTAGTTTTATTACTATTATCCATTTCCAAATACATAAAGATTCACATTAATTTTAATTTTGGTTTATTGTCTTCTAATCAAATGCAAAGAAGTATTTGCTCAATTTCTAAATGGAAACCTAAAATATACCACTGTATTTAAAAATCTCATGGCCCAGGTGTATGATAATAAAGTTTTAGTAACATATGATACAGAAATATTTAAATTATTCAAATGCAGCCAAACTTATTATTTTTGAATGTGATTAACATTGTTACAGACCAAGAAGATAATTAGAAAAATGGAATTTTAGGACTGGAAAAACTTCAGTTTTTCTCTTTTCTGTTTTCTTCTTGACATTCTTGTGTATTTTTCAACAAAACTTGGTGATAATAAATTGTGTAAATCTGAAAAAATTTAGCAGTGTTTAACACCTAATTTGATGTCCTCACATTTGAATTATTTTCCTTTGAAGGAGACTCCTAGTGCAGGATTTCTTCTTGTTGCCTGCCCAGCCCATGATATCTGTAAAGTGCTCTTCATTTCACTTAAAATCTCACTGTGTACTGCTGGGGGATGCAGCTCATGCCATAGTGCCATTTTTTGGGCAAGGAATGAATGCGGTAAGTTATTTTTCCCTGGGTAAGTCCCTGAAATATTTCTGGGTCAGTCTCAGCTAACAAGTCTTGAGTAAAAAGCATGTCTAAGATTATCCCCACGTAATCCCTGAAAACACAATCAATGCAGCAGTCATACCAGTTGTGCAGCCAGATTGATCACCAACTCTAATCAGAATTTGAATTGCTCAATATCACCGAGGGATGAGTGTATTATGCTTTCTGCTTTTTTCTGCTATGGATTACTGGATTGCTGCATTGATTGTGCTTTCAGGGATTATGTGGGGATATTCTTAGACACGTTTTTTACTTTGTTCTGTGGGTTGTCTCTTCACTTTGTTGATTGATTGTTTGTTTTGCTTTACAGAAACTTTTTTAGCTTGATATGATCCCATTTGTCCCATTTATTTCTGAGTTCTCTATTCTGTTCCAAAGGTCTATGTGTTTGTTATTTTGCTTTGGTTGCCATGTTTTTTAGGTCTTACTTAGAAAATCTTTGCCCAGACCACTGTCTGCAGTGTTTCCTCAATGTTTTCTTCTACTGGTTTCATAATTTCAAGTCTTAGATTTGTCTTTAATCCACTTTGATTTTACTTTTGTATAAGGTGAAAGACAGTGGTCTGATTTCATTCTTCTGCATACAGATATCTAGTTTTCCCAGCACCGTTTATTGAAGAGACTGTCTTTTCCCCAATGTATGTTCTTGGCACCTTTGCTAAAATTGAGTCGATGCTAAAATTGAAAGTGGGTGTATTTCTGTGTTCTCTATTCTATTCCATTTGTTGAGATGTCTGTTTTCATGCCAGTCCCATGACATTTTGGTTACTTTAGCTTTGTAGTATAATTTGAAGTCAGGTAATGTGATGCCTCCAGTTTCGTTATTTTTGTTCAGGATGGCTTTGGGTATTTTGGGTCTTTTGTGATTTCATATAAATTTTAGGATTATTCTTTCTATTTCTGTGAAGAATGACATTGGTATTTTTTATGGATTGCATTAAATCTGTAGATTACCTTGGGTAATATGGACATTTTAACAATATTGATTCTTCCAATCTATGAGCATGGAATATCTTTCCATTTTTTGTGTTCTCTTCAATTTCTTTCATCGATGTTTTATAGTTTTCATTGTAGACATCTTTCACTTCTCAGGTTAATTACTGGGTATCTTATTTTATTTGTAACTATTATAAATGGGATTACTCTCTTGTGTTTTTTTTTTTTCAGATTGTTTGCTCTTGACATATAGAATTGCTATTTATTTTTGTATGTTGATTTTGTATCCTGTAACCTTGCCAAATTTGTTTATCAGTTCTAATAGTGTTTCTGGTGGACTCTTTAAGTTTTTGTAAACATAAGGTCATATTGTCTGCAAACAAGAATAATTTGACTTCTTCCTTTCCAATACAGATGCTCTTTATTTCTTTCTCTTGTCTAAATGCTCTGGCTAGGACTTCCAATACTACGATGCATAAAAGTGGTGAAAATGGTCATCCTTGTCTTGTTCCATATTTTAGAGGAAAGATTTTCAGTTTTCCCACATTTAGTATGATACTGGCTGTGGGGATGCCATATACAGCTTTTATCATATTGAGGTATATTCCTTCTATACCTAGTTTTTTTTTTTTTTTTTTTTTTTTGGAATTTTTATCACGAAGGAATGTTGAATTCTACAGAATGTTTTTTTAGCATCAATTGAAATGATCATATGATTTTTGTCTTTCATTCTGTCGATATGATGTATCACTTTTATTGATTTGTGTATGTTGAACCATCCTTGCTACCCTGGGATGAATCCCACTTAATCATAATGAACGATTTTCAATGGGTTCTTGAATTTGGTTTGCTTGTACTTTGTTGAGAATCTTTGCATCTATGTTTATCAGAAATATTGTCATGTAGTTTCCTTTTGTTTGTTGTGTCTTTGGTTTTGGTATTATGGTAAGACTGGCCTCTTATAATTAGTTTGCAAGTGTTTCTCTTTAATTTTTTTGAGTATGATTGATATTAGTTCCTTTTTAACTGTTTTGTAGAATTCAGCACAGCAATGAAGCTATCAGGTCCTAGGCTTTTCTTGGATGGGAAGCTTTTTATTACTGCTTCTGTCTTGTTACTTTTTAATGGTCTATTCAGGTTTCGAATTTCTTTATGGCTCAATCTTGGTAAGCTGGTATGTGTCTAGGACTTTATTCATTTCTTCTAAGGGTTTTCAAACGTATTGGCATATAATTGCTCATAATGGTCTCTAATGATCCTTTGAGTTTCTATGGTATCAGTGTCTCCTTTTTCACCCCTGATTTTATTTATTTAAGTCTTCTCTCCTTTTTCTTAATCTAGCAAAATGTTTCTTGATTTGTTTATCGTTTTTAAACACCAACTTTTTGTTTCATTGATCTTTTATATTATATTTTAGCCTCAACTTTTTTCTGATCTTTATTATTTCTTCTTTAAAGAAACTTTTAAAATTTCTGAGATTATTCTGTCTTAAAATTAATGTATATATTTTATTTCAATAGCTTTTTGGGTACAAGTGGTTTTTGGTTACATGAAAGAATTACATGGTGGTAAAGTCTGAGATTTTAGTGCATCTGTCACCTGAGTAGAGTACATTGTACACAATATGTAGTTTTTTATCCCTCACTCCCCTCTCGTTCTCCCCATTCTGAGTCACTAAAGCCCATTCTATCACTCTGTATGCCTTTCTGTACTCAAAATTTAGCTCCCACTTATAAGTGAGAACATATGATATTTAGTTTCCTATTCTTGGGTTACTTCACTTAAAATAATGGCCTCCAGATCCATCCATCCAAGTTGTTGCAAAATATATTATTTATTCTTTTTTACAGTTAAGTAGTATTCCATGGTGTATATATACCACATTTTCTTTATCCATTCATTGGTCAAGGGACATTTAGGCCAGTTCCATATCTTTACAAATTGTAAATTGTCCTGCAATAAACATACACATCCAGGTGAATTTTTTTTTTTTTTTTTTGCTATTGGTATTTTTTGTATGGTTTGTATTTTTTGATAATTTTTGTATTTTTTGTAGAGACGATGTTTCACCGTGTTGCCCAGTCTGGTCTCAATCTTCTGAGCTCAACTGATCTGCCTGTTTTGGCCTCCCAAAGTGCTGGGATTACAGGCATGAGCTACCATACTCAGCCCATTTATTTGTTTTTTGTTTTAGTTGCATTTGCTTTAGGGATCTTAGTCATAAATTCGTTGCCTAGGCCAATGTCCAGAAGAGTTTTTCCTAGGTTACCCTTTAGAATTTTTATGGTTTCAGGTCTTAAATTTAAGTCTTTTATCCATCTTGAGTTTATTTTTGTGTAAAGTGAGAAATAGGGATCCAGTTTCATTCTACTACATATGGCTATCCAGTTTTCCCAGCACCATTTATTAAATAGGGTGTCTTTTTCTCAATTTATGTTTTTGTATGCTTTATTGAAGATCAGTTGGTTGTAAGTATTTGGCTTTATTTCTGTGTTATCTATTCTGTTCCATTGGTCTATGTGTCTACTTGTGTATCAGTACCATGCTATTTTAGTGACTATAGCCTTGTAGTATAATTTAAAGTCCAGTAATGTGATGCCTCCAGATTTGTTCCTTTTACTATTTGGGCTCATTTTTGGTTCCATATGAGTCTTAGAATTGTTTTTTCTAATTCTATGAAAAATGATGTTGTTATTTTGATAGGAATTACATTGAATCTGTAGATTGCTTTGGGGCAGTATGGTCATTTTAGCAATATTGTTTCTTCCAATCCATGAACATGGAATATGTTTCCATTTGCTTGTGTCATCTATGGTTTCTTTCAGAAGTGTTTTGTAGCTCTCCTTTTAGAGATCTTTCACCTCCTTGGTTAAGTATATTCCTAGGTGTTTTATTTTATTTTTCAGCTGTTATAGAAAGGAGTAAGCTCTTGATTTGATTCACAGTTTGGTTGTTGGTGGCGTGTAGAAATGCTACTGATTTGTGTACATTGATATTGTAACCTGAGTCTTTACTGAATTCATTTATAAAATCTAGGAATATTTTGGGAGAGTCTTTAGAGTTTTCTAAGTATACAATCATATCATCAGCAAACAGTGATCTTTTGACTTCCTTTTTGTCAATTTGGATGTCCTCCATTTCCTTCTCTTGACCGATTACTTTCTCTAGGACTTCCAGTACTATGTCGAATAGAAGTGATGAAAATGGGCATCCTTGTCTTGCTTCAGTTCTGAAGGGGAATGCTTTAGACTTTTCCCCATTCGGTATGATGTTGGCTGTGGATTCATCATATACAGCTTTTATTATTTTGAGATAAGTCCTTTCTATGCCTATTTGTTGGGGGTTTTTTATCATAAAGTGATGCTGGATTTTATAGAATGCTTTTTCTGCATCTATAGAGATGATTATATGGTTTTTGTTTTCAGTTCTGTTTATGTGATGTGTCACATTTATTGACTTGCATGTATTAAACCATTCCTGCATCCCTGGGATGAAAGCCACTTAATCAAAGTATATTATCTTTTTGATGTGCTGTTGTATTTGGTTAGCCAGTATGTGGCTGAGGATTTTACACTGATGCTCATCAGAGATATTGGTTTGTAGTTTTCTTTCTTTGTTATGTCCTTTCCTGGTTTTGGTGATACTGGCTTCATAGAATGAGTTAGGGAGAATTCCCTCTGTCTCAATCTTTTGTAATAGTTTCAATAGGATTGGCACCAATACTTTGAATGTCTGGTAAAATGCAACTGTGAGTCCTTTTGGTCCAGGGCTTTTATTTGTTGTTGACAACTGTTTCGATTACTGATTCAATCTCACTGCTTGTTATTGGTCTGTTCAGGGTTTCTATTTCTTCCTTATTTAATCTAGGAGTTTTTTACATGTCCAGAAATTTAGTCATTTCCTCTAGGTTTTCTAGTATGTTTCCAAAAAGGTGTTCCTAGTAGTGTCAAATGATCTTTTGTATTTCTGTGGTGTCAGTTGTAATGTCTCCAGTTTCATTTCTAATTAAGCTTGTTCGGATCTTCTCTTGCATCTTCTTGGTTAAATTAGCTAATCGTCTATTGATTTTGATTCTGTTTTCAAATAATCAACTTTTCGTTTTGTTGATCTTCTGTATTTTTTGTTTCAAATTCATTTAGTTCTTCTCTGATCTTTGTTATTTCTTTTCTTCTGCTGACTTTGGGTTTAGTTTGTTCTTGTTTCTCTAGTTCCTTGAGGTGTGACGTAATGTTGTGGTCAACTTGTGGTATTTTTTTTTTAACTTTTTGATGTAGGCATGTAGTGCTATAAAATTTCCTCTTAGCATTGTATTTGCTGTATCCCAGAGGTTTTGATGCATTGTGTCACTATTATCATTCATTTCAAAGGATTTTTAAATTTCCATCTTGATTTCATTGTTAACCTGATGGATGAGGTTAAGTAAACCTCTGAGCTGATTAGATGTTGAACACTACTGTCTTCATGGAAATTTTACTATTTTGGCTAGAAAAAGAATTCAGAGAAGAAATAGTGTTTAAAAATTGAAGTGGAACATTTAGTTCAAGGAATCCTAAACTAATTCGTGTGTGTGCTAATAGTTCATAAATATTAATCATATGTTATGTTGGTCATTGGGATATATTCCAAATAAAGTTAGCTTGTGAATCTAATCAATTATATTCTCCATAAAGCAGTGGTAAATATTTTGTTTTATAAAAATATAAGAAGACATTAATTATAGTACAATGGATAAGTGCCCAGGACCTGGCATTAGAATGCCTGGTTTTAAGTCCTGGCTCCAGGATTTACTACAAATATGTTCTTGCACAACTTACTTACCTTATCTTTACTTCCTTATCTATAAAATTGGAATTTTAGACCAGGTGTAGTGGCTCACGCCTGTAATCCCAGCACTGTGAGAGACCTAGACAGGTGGATCACTTGAGGTCAGGAGTTCAAAACCAGCCTGGCCAACATGGTAAAACCCTGTATCTACCAAAAATACAAAAAAAAAATAACCAGGTGTGATGGTGGGTGCCTACAGTCCCGGCTACTTGGGAGGCTGAGGCAGGAGAATCGCTTGAAGATGGCAGGCGGAGGTTGCAGTGAGCCGAGTTTGTGCCACTGCACTTCAGCTTAGGCAACAGAGTGAGACTCCATTTCAAAATAAATAAATAATTTAATTAATTGAAATAAAATTTTAATAGCGTCTACCTCAGTGTTGTGAAGAGTAAATGAATTAACTTACACAAAAGAATATAAAACTGTTATCTCAGCCCCATATGGTATCTCTCACTTCTAAATCCTATAGTATTGAGACTACGTAATTGGTTTGACAAATAAATCTGCTTGTTTCAGATGTAATCTTTATAACTGATGTGAAAAATATTTTATTTAAAAATACCTTTAGGCTAGGCATGGTGGCTCATGCCTGTAATCACAGCACTTTAGGAGGCTGAGCCGGGCAGATCACTTGAGGTCAGGAGTTCGAGATCAGGCTGGCCAATGTGGTGAAATGCTGCCTCTACTAAAAATACAAAAATTAGCTGGGTGTGGTGGCACACACCTGTATACTCAGCTACTCAGGAGGCTGAGGAAAGAGAATCACTTGATGGAGATTGCAGAAAGCCAAGATTACGCCACTGCACTCCAGCCTGGGCGACAGAGAGAGATTCCATCTCAAAAAAAAAAAGAAAGAAAGCAAAAAGAAAAAACATATCTTTATATTGCCTCTAAAGCTATAGCTTGATTTCCTAGGAAACAGGAAACACTGCTTTCAATTCTATTGAGCATAATACATTACTAATTTTGTGGACTTCTTAATATTGATTTAATCTTGAGTTATATGAACTAAATTAATATGTAAGTAGTTTTATCCTGTCACTAAATTGCTCTAAATGTGAATCTTAAAGACTTGAATAGTATAAATATAATTCTAAAACTTATGGTAGAGCAATATAATGTCTCTTCTTCTCAAAGAAGTAATGGAATCTATCAAAATTAGAACACTAACTTAAAAAATCTTGGTCAAATTTCAAATCACTATAACATATATATATATATATGACAAAGATAACACTGCCAAACATGAAGACTATGGTTGTTTGCTTGTTTGTTTGTTTTGAGACAAGGTCTCGCCTCTGTCACCCAGGCTTAAGTGATCCTCTAACCTCAGCCTCCCGAGTAGCTGGGACCACAGGCACGCAGCACCACAGCCAGCTATTTTTTTTTTTTCATTTTGTATTTTTAGTAGAGACAGGGTCTTATCATGTTGCCCAGGCTGATCTTGAACTCCTGAACTCAAGTGATCTGCTCACCTCAGCCTCCCAAAGTGCTGGGATTACAAGTGTGAGCCATCACACCTGAGCCCAATGGTCATTTTTAACCATAATTCAATACCATGTGACAACTCAACTGCTATGTACTAGTTGAGGATAAACAGTCTATGGATTATCTTCACCAATGGAAGGTCTGTTCAAAATCGGTAATAAGTTTTTAAAAATATTTCTAGTTTCTTATTTCCCTTTTTTTTTTTTCTTGTTTCAGGGCTTTGAAGACTGCTTGGTATTTGATGAATTAATGGATAAATTGAATAATGATCTTAGTAAGTAAGGTCAATTTCTCAATTAGACATGGACTAGCTCTTCTGACTAATCGTGGACTTATTTCTGATCCTCAATGATCACAAACCTGTCATGTGTAATGTACATTATCTGCCCAGGATTATACATTTTTCTACTAACAGTCTATCAACAACTAACATCCAGAAAAAGAGACATAGTTTCTTTTGGAGTGTATATGTGGAGGTCCATGAAGTGATTCACTCAAAGACAAAAGCTCAGAGAACCAGTGCTTGGCAGAGATATGCTGCTTTCCCTCCCCTTTCGGCCTAGGTAACACCCTCTGCCTGCATTCCCTAGCGGCAGTCCCCAGCAAAACTTGGCAGCAGGGACGGGTTTCATGGAAGACAATTTTTCCACAGATGGGGGTTGTGGGGGAGATGGTTTTAGGATGAAACTGTTCCAGCTCTGATCATCAGGCATTAGTTCGATTCTCATTTAAGGACCATGCAAGCTACATCCCTTGCATGTACAGTTCACAGTAGGGTTCACACTCCTATGAGAACTTAATGTCACTGCTGACCTGACAGGAAGCAGTACTCAGGTGGTAACACTCACTCACCTGCTGCTCACCTCCTGCTGTACGGCCCGGTTCCTAACAGGCCATGGTCCGAGGGCTGGGGACATCTACCCTACAGCACATCCTCAGAAACACCCTTAGAAGCTCCAGTGTTCTCCTGCTTTTTGCCCTATCAAAGATTGCATCTGATAGTTCATGTGCCTTTTGATTAAAACTGATTCAGCCAATACATTAATTTTACAGATATTGAACTTTTGAGTATTTATATATAATTCTGGAATTAATTTAAATTAAATGTGTACAATTACATATATTATGTGTATATATAGTATATACATATAGTATATTATGTGTATATAGAGTATATATATATAGCATATATGTATATATATATGCTATATATATATGCCATATATATATATATATACATATATACTATATATACATATATATATATATACACACACACACACATATATACTATATATACACATAGTATGCCTAATGCCTGGGTCTGAAGAGATTATAGCATTCCATGGCATTCCAGGGCAAATTTCTTCTTTTTTGTTTTCTGTTGTTGTTGTTGTTGTTTGAGATGGAGTCACTCCAATTGCCCAGGCTGGAGTGCAATGGTGCAGTCTCAGCTCACTGCAACTTCCACCTCCTGGGTTCAAGCAATTCTCCTGCCTCAGCCTCCAGAGTAGCTGGGATTATAGGCATATACCACACCACAGCTGGCTAATTTTTGTATTTTTAGTAGAGACAGGGTTTCATCATATTGGCCAGGCTGGTCTTGAACTCCTGACCTAAAGTGATCCACCGCCTCAGCATCCCAAAGTGCTGGGATTATAGGCGTGAGCCACCATGCGTGGCAGAAATTTCTTCTTTGTTTTTCATGTCCCAGTCATCTCTCCCAGATGTTCAGGAGCCAGAGGCATTTTGTTCCCTCCCTTCCTTCCTAGCCCTTGTGTGATTGGTTTGCAAATAATGATGAAGGTGGATAGAGGGTTTGTATATTACACAGAAAAAAGGAGGTGCAAACAATAGCCTAAGAACTGGACAACCTTTTCCTGCTTCCCAGCATCACATGCTTTCAAAGCCCCCTCTGAATTTACACTTGTTTCAGGTGAAGGATCGACTAGAGAACTGGCCTTAAACTTACAGCCAGTTTCAAGTCCTGACTTGCCAACTTATTCACTGTGTGATCTTGAGCAAATCACTTAATCTTTCTAAAGTCTCAGTTCTTTTTCATCTATAAAGTGGGGATAATACTCTCAACTTCAGAGTTGTGAAGACTGAACGATTAGGACTCTTCAGACTCCAGACCTGGGTCTGAAGAGATTATGGGGTTCCAGGACAAATTTTTCATGTTTGTTTTTTTTGTTATTTCCCAGTCATCTCTCGCAGTTGCTCATGAGTCAGGGATATTTCGTTTCCTCCCTTCCTAGTGCTGGTGTGACTGGTTTGCACGTGGTGATGGAGGTGGATGGAGGGTTTATGTGTCAGAACGAACTGTCAATGCTGATTTGGGGCACCAGAGCACGAAGATGAAACAATAGTATAGATTCACTTTGTTGTAATTTTTATTTAATCACAACAGGAGGTGCTCTACCTGTATTATCAATAGTCAGATTGTTGGTTATACAGAATGTCATTCATAGTTTAAAAAAATTATCGAGAGCGTTGGTAGTGAATCGATCATTTAATTTGACCTGTGCAGAGTTCAGCACATGTTTATAGAAGGTTTTGGAAAGATGTATTATTTTACTTATAGGTTTGTGTCTTCCTGCATTCTCAAGATTGAGAATCCCAGATGATCATGCAATTTCAGACCTATCCATGTACAATTACATAGAGGTGAGTGAGAAGGTTTGGCTTTATTTCATGAGACGGTTCACTGATATTCTAACAAATGTTCTTTTCTTTTTCTTTGCGTCAGCCCCCATCTCATGCATACTATATAAGAATATGTACAGACAAGAATGAAGACACACACACACACACACACACACACACACACACACACAGAGCATTCCTTAGACTTGGGTGGATTGTTACTCGGTGGCCAGTGGCAATGACCCACACACATTATTTGCATCTACACTTTAAGGACATTTAGGAAGTAACAAAGCCTCTGATAATTCACATGCTTGTATCTTAGACATTTAGTCAATATGTCATAGGCAATATGTTAATTTAATGAAAATACAACTTTCAGATGGGTTAACATATTTAGAAAATCCAAGAAATGTTGAATGGCCTTTTCACTCATAACATTATAACTTGCATATTTAGAGTAGCATTGATTATCCTTTGAAGCCCTATGCACTAAAAAAAATGCATAATACCAAAAAGAAATTTATGTTCAGGACAATTAGCACTTTGAAGAAAAACACATTAATTCTGTTTTGAACCAGTCACATGAAAAGCTCATAATAAGTGATTTCACAATATTATAGTTTTAAAATAATAAAATGAAAGGATTTACAAGACAAATTTAAAGCAGAGTGACCAGCTATTTTTCATCTCTCCTGAAGACAGAAAGAAAGAAACTGGACTTCATCTTGAGTGGAATTGCATCGTATGTGGTGGAGGACGTTCTATAAGATACTAGAAGCTTTATTAATGTATCTTGTCTTATCCTTTAAAACAGGATGGCTATGACACAGTATCTGTCCTAAATAGAGAGTAGGTCAGCATAGCTTTACTTGTTGCCATAAGCAATATTACAAACCAACCAGGAAGCAACAGAAAATTAGTCAAATGTTTGAGCTTACAGATTACCTGCAGATTTGTTTAAAAAAACGCTTTGCTGAAATAGAGTTCCTATTTGACCCCTGAGCAAAATAAAACTTTCCCAGCAGGTTTCATGTAATTCGTGTACATTTTTAAGGCAACATCCTATATGACTAACATTTACTAAAATGGATTGGGAATGACTATTACGGAAACAAAAATTTATTTGACTACTTTGTGTTTGGGATCGCGATGAGTGGGAATGAAGGATAATAATAAGTTGCAGTAGGAAATAGATGTATTTGTTCAAAAGCATTTTTTACTCACATTATTGCAGATGCGAGCACATGTCAACTCAAGGTGGTTCATTTTTCAGAAGAACATGGAGAGATTTCTTCATGCTATTATGCCGTCTACCTTCATCCCTCTTTATACCATGGTAAGGTCTGGACTTAAGACTTTTTCTCATTTTAATTTTGTTTACCTGCTAAAGAAGACACAAGACTATTTTTTAAACTTCCCTGCAGGTCACTTTTTCCAGAATAAGATACCATGAGGCTGTGCAGCGTTGGCAGTGGCAAAAAAAGGTTAGAACAGATTACATTTTTTATTCTTTCTAATATGATGTGTTGAAATGTCATAGTATTATGATTATGTTTATTTCAGGCAAATGCAGAAATGATGAGACAGACATCAAATGTTTGCCTTACAAACAGAAACTGTCCTGAGTACAGAGAGGGAAGAGGGCTTACTGAACGTTAGAGGAAGTGGTAAAGAGAGAGAGCTTTTGAAGGGCAGAAGCTCAAGAAAGAAACTGATGCTAATGTTTCTCAATTTTTTGTTTTAGCAAGGTGTACTGTTTTTGATATTTGCTTTGTGCAATATTCTCATGAGTTTAATTTGTAAAATTAGACAGAACTGAATCACTTTTAAAACACCTATTCCAGGCTGGGCGCAGAGGCTCACGCCTGTAATCCCAGCACTTTGGGAGGCCGAGGTTGGCGGATCACAAGGTCAGGAATTCGAGACCAGCCTGGCCAATATGGTGAAACCCTGTGTCTACTAAAAATACAAAAATTAGTAGTTCCAGCTGCTTGGGAGGCTGAGGCAGGAGAATCACTTGAACCCGGGAGGTAGAGGTTGCAGTGAGCCAAGATCACACTACTTCACTCCAGCCTGGGTAACAGAGCAACGCTCTGTCTCAAAAAAAAAAAAAAAAATACAAAAAATAGCCCGGTGTGGTGGTAGGTGCCTGTAATCCCAGCTTCTTCGGAGGCTGAGACAGAAGAATTGCTTGAACCTAGGAGACAGAGGTTGCAGTGAGCTGAGATCACACCATTGCACTCCAGCCTGGGCAACAGAGCAAGACTCCATCTCAATAAAAAGGAAGGAAGGAAGGAAGGAATGGGGGAGGGAGGGAGGGGAAAGAAAGAAAAGAAAGAAAGGAAAGAAGGAAGGAAGGAAGGAATGAAGGAAGAAAGGAAGGAAGGAAGAAAGGGAGGAAGGAAGGAGACCCACCTATTCCAATGGAATGCTATATAATACATTCATATTAGGCAGTTGGCCCAGAGATGCCAATTAAATGGAATTCTGATTCCCTAGTCTTCCACTTTGGGGATTTTACAATGTCTTTCATTCAACAGTTTTATTTAGTGCATAGCACTGAGCTGGCATGGTGATGAACGTGACACAGTCCACACCTCTCACAAAGCTCAGAGGCTAGTGGGGGATAGAGACAGTAGCCTGGAGAGGGATAAACTGCCCCTGAGGAGAACAGGACTGGGCCAGGAAAGGGGAGGGCAGAAGACATGTGAGCAACACATCAGAGTGAGAGCGGCCAGGATTTCAGTGGAGCTGGAAGGCAACACTAGTGTGTGAGAATGGTCAGAGGGGCAGCTGGAGAGGCAGGCAGGGCTTTAAACACCTGGAATATTATCTTGAGAGAAACAGGGAGCCCAGGGAGGCCAACAGACTCGGGTCTGGATTTTAGAAAGATGTCTATATGGATAATGGATGGGAAGAAATCAAGATTTATCTATACAAGGTGAATAATACAGGGTCCCCGCCCTTAAGGAGCTGAAAGTCAAAAGGGGAAAGGAGACCAGCAGGCAGTTAGAATGCAGGACAGAAGTGTGGGGACAGAAATAGGCCAGGGTGCCATGGGAATGCGCCTGACCCAGGCTGGAATGAGCCTCAGGCCACTGTTCACAGCTTGTGTTTAGTCTTCGGGTGAGGCTTAGTCACACAGGCCACCAGGCCACCACTCCTCTCACGGGGACTTTTGGGAAGCTTCTGAGAAGGAATGAATTTCATGTGGTCCCAGCACAGTAGTGCTCTTCTAAGAATTCACAGCTCTTTTTCTAAACTGCAAAGGTTTTTTAATGGCTGACTGCTAATTTTTTTCATACAGAACACCTGGATTCATGAGTTTCTTGGGAGAGAGGGAAGGGATGTTCCCAGTGCTGTATTTTATCTCGAGCTTATCAATTCCTGGCCTTGTGCTCAGGCAATTAAGTTGTTTCAGGTTAAAGAACAAAGAGGGCATTGTTTACCCCTTTGTTGTTAACAAATGAGATCTATTTCCAGACTTTAATCTCTGGACAAATGAAATGAGAGTTCTTGCTGTCTTACAGGTGATAAACAGAGGACTCTTTTTCTTCGGATCACTGATAGCCATCAGCAGTACCTACCTACTTATGCGCTGCGTGTTACGACGACCTCTCGACTACGTGAGAAGACCATGGAACTGGATAGCTCACTTCTGGAACACAAAACACGTTTCCCCGCAAAGGCCATGGGCTCCCTAGAACAAACTTCCAATCTCATTAGCAGGTGATAGAAAGGTTTGAAGTAGCAAATGCTTGATTTCTTTCTCTGTAACCAAAATTAAGCATTTAAAAAAAAAACTTTCTATTGCCATATTTGATTCACTAATGGAAGATAGTGGTCTGCTTATAATTAAACTTAATATAGAATTTCTCTGTATGTTAATTGCAATTACCAGAGGGGAGCCCGCCACATTTTAAAAGTGGAAACATGCACCTTCCCTACGTTGTGAACACTCAGGTTGAGTCATTCTCACTATAAAAGTTCAGTGACTAAGATCTTTCACTTCTCAAAAAGTAAGGCCCAAGATGCATCAGGGAAGACAGTAATCATGCCTTTTCTTTAAAAAGACACGATAGAACTCACAACAGGATGTACTCAACACCTGGGACTAAAAATCACAAGTTGCCTAGCATGTTAGTTGCACTTTTTGTCACCTGAATAGAACTTATCTAACCACAGGGCTCAGACTTACTAAATAAAACCAGAAATGTACATCAGGAATTCAGGGGAGTTCCAGAGACTTACAAAATGAACTTATTTTATTCTCCCATCTTCGATTACCACTATTACTATCTATCTATCTATCTATCTATCATCTATCTATCTATCTATCCATCCATCCTCTATCTATATCTATCTATCTATCATCTCTATTTATTTATTTATTTAGAGATCACGTCTCACTCTGTTGTCCAGGCTGGAATATAATGGCATGATCTTGGTTCACTGCAATCTCTGCCTCCCAGGCTCAAGCAATCCTCCTACCTGAGTCTCTCAAGTAGCGGGGGCTACCATGCCTAGCTAAATTTTTGATATTTTTCAGTAGAGACAGGGTCTTGTCATGCTGCCCAGGCCGGTCTCAAACTCCTGGCCTCATGTAATCTGCCCAACTCAGCCTCCCAAAATGCAGGGATGAGAGGTGTGAGCCACCATTGCCAGCCCAGAATTATTCTGTAGAGATAAGAAAAAGGCTATTAATATCATACTGAGTAAGGGACAGGAAAGGGTTTTATTCATAAATTAAATGTCTTACATATGCAAGAGAGTGGAAAGGAAACAAAGGGAGACAACTTTCATAGAAATACAAAGCCATTATTTTATTCCACTTCAGAACCTCAGAAGCAATTTAGTAATTCATTCTTGGACTACGTACTGCGGCAGAACCAGCAATATGCTCGATTTCTAAAAGCACATTTAGTGAAAACTTTTCTTTGGTTCTTCCTTCTTTAGCAGGTTGCTAAGTCACCTAGAAGTCCTTCAAACATGATTAATTATGAAGATGCAACACTAGAGTCATCTAAGAAGTGAAAACTGGGCAATAAAATAAAATGATTCAGTGTTTCTTTTCTATATTATTAATGAACTCCTTGAGTTCTAATAATCCATGTTTAGTTTGTAGGGAAAAAATAATAATTTTTCCTTATACCCACTTTAGGTTCCTTGGCTGGGGGCCCTATAACAAAAGACAGACTAATGAGAAAAACAAACATAAGTGTATTAGCAGGTATATATATATGTGTGTGTGTGTGTGTGGGAAATACAGGTGAAAGTACAGGGGAATGAGTAAATCTCAAAGAGCTGGCTTCTTAGAACTCCCTGGCTTATATAGCAACAACAACAGTAAATTTTTAGAGAAACGACAAAACACAGGAAAAGAGCTTTGAGTCTGTAGGCGCGGCAAATTGTGGGAAGCAAATCCACGGGAGTTTGCCACATAGAGTCCTCTGGTGCTGGTCTCCAGGCTGATGAGGATTCAAAGTTGTCTCTGAAACTCCTGCTTGTCGTACCATATCTATAAAAGGTCTTTTGTTTCCAATAAGAGAATTTTCTTTTTCATTCTAGAATTATCTCCTGGATAATTTGATCAGACATAGGACATGATAATGAATAGAGCCCAACAGTACAAAAAAAATGCAATATGTTCTAGCTACTTCACACATGTGTATGTGACAGTTATTTTTACAGTAAGGTATTTTCAAGAAAAATGTATTACATGTTTTGCAAAATATAGTAATTTAAAAAATATATTTGAAATGAAAATCTCCAACACATTAGAAGATGATGATGCTAGATGCCCAACATGTGCCACAAGTGGTTTTTCATTATGTAAAGCACCCGTTGAATTAAAAGAATTTATTCTTGTTCAACCTCTTCCTGAGGCCCAAGAGCACGTGGGCAATTCGGATTTCCTGCTGGGCCACAAAGTTCTGTTGATATTACATAGAATGGGGATTCCAGAACAGTTCTTATGATGGAAGTCTAAAAGCGGCATCCAATGTAAGGCCCCATCTTTCATTGCCCTTCTTCATTCCTACAAAGGACGAACTTGGATTACATCAACTTTGGATCCATTGGTTTTGTCACTGTCGTCAACTGACAGTGATTCATCACTGGTGATGATAAAAATGATGGAAGAAGAGTTAAAAGTCACTTTTTTCTTTGGCCTGTCCCCATCTTTCTGTGACATCACAATGGGTCTGATCTGCATTTCACTCCCAGCTGTTGGTAGGTCTTTAGCAGGCTGCTGGCATCTCAGCATTCGGAGACACAGGAGCTGCAAAAGGGATCTTCGAAACTGGGCAGAGGAAAAATAAAGTTGAATATTAAGTAAAAGTGGGGCACTAATCTGGATTAGCATTCAAGGAAAACAGTTGAGCTGAATTTAAGTTGTTTTTTGCTTGTTAGCAGGTGTGGATTTGGGGTTATGTGGTCATGCTCAGATCTAACTAAATCACCCCGGAGCTTTATGTCTTTTTTTTTTTTAGATGAAGTCTTGCTCTGTTGCCCAGGCTGGAGTGCAGTGGCATGATCTCGGCTCACTGCAACCTCTGCCTCCCAGGTTCAAGCAATTCTCCTGCCTCAGCCTCCCAAGCAGTTGGGACTACAGGTGCACACCACCACGCCCAGCTAATTTTTTGTATTTTTAGTAGAGATGGGGTCTCACCATATTGGCCAGGCTGTTCTTGAACTCCTGACCTCGTGATCCACCACCCTCAGCCTCCCAAAGTGCTAGGATTACAGGCATGCACCACCACGCCTGACCAATGTCTTTTATTTATTCTGAATTCTTATTAACCAGACCATTTTAATACCTTATAATCTTCAAAGCTTCAATCTGCACATACTATGAGAGCAGGTAGAACTATTTATTTAAGGGATTTCTGAACATTAAGTCAGTACACAAACATTCAGTGGTCATCTACGAGGTGACAGCCACTGCGCTATAATTAGAGATGCTATAAGCAACCAAAACAAACAAGGCTCTTCGTGGCAGAGTTTACAGGCTGTTGTACTTGCTAATGCTCCCTTAATTAGATGAATAATTTTTTTTTCTAACTAAATTCCTAATCAATTAGCGAAAAAATACTATGGCAGAGAGTACTAATGTCATCAACATACATAATCCGAATATTTCTTGGCTTCCTATTGGCTTCTCCTCTCTGCTATTCCTCTCTACAAGAACCTGGGAGGCCAAAATGTAACGATCATAATATCACACAATGGAAGGAACCTAGATTCCTAAATGACTGCATGGGACAGATCCCATCTCCTCCACCCAATATATTATTAGACCGTGAACTGTGACCTGAATGACAATAAACTCCATATGAATTCACTGAAATGTTGGAGTTGCTTGTTATAGTTGTTAGTCCATCACGACCAGTAAAACATAAATCAAAAGTTAATGTAATTGGTATCTCCATTATTTAGAGTGAAATAAATGTTGAATATATGGACTTTTTCAGATCAGGAAATATCAATTAAGAATGTAATAAATAGCTCCATTGATTTCGGTCTTTTTTCTTTGTGTTTTGTTTTCTTTTATAGAAAACATTGCCTGATAATCTGTCTTCTTTGAGCCCCAATCTTACATAAGTTAGCATTTAGTTTACACTCACATTTAAAAATATTTATTTTTTCCATTTGATTCAAAAATTTAAAAAATAGCCGGGCGCGGTGGCTCAAGCCTGTAATCCCAGCACTTTGGGAGGCCGAGGCGGGTGGATCACGAGGTCAAGAGATCGAGACCATCCTGGTCAATACGGTGAAACCCCGTCTCTACTAAAAATACAAAAAATTAGCTGGGCATGGTGGTGCGTGCCCGTAATCCCAGCTACTCAGGGGGCTGAGGCAGGAGAATTGCCTGAACCCAGGAGGCGGAGGTTGCGGTGAGCCGAGATCGCGCCATTGCACTCCAGCCTGGGTAACAAGAGCGAAACTCCGTCTCAAAAAAAAAAAAAAAAAAAAAATTTAAAAAATAAAAATATTTATTTGTTTGAGACTTTATTCACTACACCATTGTTTGGTTAAGTGTAAAAGATACATTATTATAAAGGTTAAATAGAGTATGTATGCCAAAAAATGTTTTTCCATATAAATAGTAAGCTCTTTGAAGACAAGGACCATTATTTTTATTTATTTGTTTTTGTGTGTATCTTTTAGACTTCCTGTTTAAAGTATGCCCTTAGGAATCAGCAACATCAGGACCATGTGGGAGCTTGTTAGACATGCACAATATTGAGCAACCATACATACTGAAGGAAAATATTCATTTCTTACAAGATTTCCAGGTGTGGGATATGCACATTAAAGTTCTAAAAGCCTTGATTTACAGCCCATTGGCTGAGAGAAAAAGTGCAACAAATAATTGTTAGTGAATATATTTTAAATTTGCCTGTTGAGATGGTGGTCTCTAAAATATCTTATTCTCTGATAGAAAATTAATTGAAGCTATAATACAGCTCACTAGAAAAATTCATATATGTGCATACTAAAAAAAAGTTACAAACAATTTCCAGGGTTTCAATGGCTCCTCTGAGGCCAACTCAAGAAATGGTTAGGTCCCATGGACTCCAAGTTTAAAATCTCTGGATCAAAGGAAATAGACCAATTGAAAGCAACAAGAAAGGAAAGAAATACTGTCAGTGAGAGGATATTAAGAGACACGAAAGTGAGTTTATGGAGAGTGTAAGCCAACAATATTCAAAGAAAAGGAAAGGCAAAAGAAGAGGCAGGGAGATTTAGCACTCACATTTTTGAGCATTAGAAGTCACAGTGATTATTATTGCCTATTATTATGACCGGTTATCTTTAAAATTCCAATGGAGTAAAGATGCATTATCCTTAACTTTTAAATTCTCTGAAACTTA